TATGCACCCAGTATAATTAATTACTGAGTAATGAGAATTTTTAAGTATGTTAAGCATTTGTTGCGTATGTTTATGATAACTTAGCCCAGTTATCATTTGCTAGTAGAAACAGTGGTAAAAATGTTTTATAAAATAAAAAATATTTTTTTGTTTTTTGCACCCACCAAAAGAAAAATAAATCGACGCCTATGGCTATGCAAGACATCATTCAAAATGTAAATATATTTTTATTTGTGTACCTTCAAAATGACAGTGAAACATTGTGCTTTTTTAAAATAAAGAAAACAAACAAAATGTGCTTGCTGCCTTGGTCTCTGTGAACTTCTTACTAAAATGAAGAAAAACTCAGCGTTACATTCTTGTCAAACAGACATGAGAAATATATAGCTATATAAACCTTGAAGTGCCCTCTTTTAAGTATTTACACTTTGCTTATTTGACATTAATGCATTAAATAAGTCAGGTTGGAATATAAATCATAGCATGTTTCAGAAGATTTAAAAAACACAAGTTGCAGTCCGGAAAATACAGTATAGCAAATTATTTTGCGGACCCCCTGGCTTTGTGTCATGGACCCTCAAGGGTCTGCTGACCCCAGTTTGAAAACCCCTGGTATAAGCTAAAACATACACACATAGTGCATTCTGAGACTAAATGCACTGAAGTGAGAACTAAGATCCTTTCACTTTTAAAGCCCGGGATACACTGCACGATTTTAGCAATCCTATAAGATCATTACTTTATCACACTGTGTGACATGGATCGTTTAAACTTGGGTATGACAAGCAAGTAGACTATATGAGGATGACACCTATTGAATCTCAACAAGAATTTGTTCTTTATGGGTATCCCACATACCAGTAAACCTTCTACTTTTTTTTGCCTCCATGGCATTGAAATTGTAGCTCCGCTGGTCGCATGGATCAATACGTCATTTCATGTTGAAATTTCGCTGGCTGCTGAGTAGACGCAGGTCGTTGCAGCAAACATACTGTGTGTTGATCATGCTGAATTTCTGACACTGTCAGAAAACTATCTTAAGCTATCGTTGGTCGCAAGACTGGGAAAACGCCCGTCTTTGAACCTCTCTCACTGTACGACATAGGACCAGCGATTAAGAGCCACGGTCACAGAAATCGCCACGATTACTTCACGATGACAATCTTTTGTCTGGGACTGCCAAAAATCGTGCAGTGTATCCCAGGCTTAAGGCTTCCAAGGACACATATATAATTCAGTCATGAAACTCTAGATGGCGCATTCTGACGGGGTGTTAACGTAACTGATGATATTCAGAGAGTTAAAGGACTTGGCACAAGCTGATTGGTTCATGCTGCATATGCAGCCAATGAGCTTACTGCCTTGCATTTATATGGCTGGCTAGCATTCACTTGAGATTCCTGCAGCACGCTTTCAGAGTTCTCTGAAACTCAAAATCTAGATAAGTAAACGGTTTTCACTCTGTTTTCTGTGCATTATTGTGTTCGTCAGACGTACATTTTTAAACAAGAAAGCATGCAAGTTGTAAAACTACGTGCAGGTTATTCGCGTGAGGAGTAATTACTAAGCATGCATTGTTCATATAACAGCAGTGGCATTAGCAGCAGCAACAAGCACTTTTCCTAGTTCATGTATGTGAGAATACACCGTCAAGCGTTGCGGATTTTAGAACAGTAAAGTGAATTGGGGATTACCTTATTTGCACCAAATCTTCAATGCTTTTAATATCTTCTGTGGGCATTCATTTCTACATTAACCGCGTACGGATTGCTTTCAGATGCATACCTCACTAGTGGGGTTGGTTTGCAGTTGGCGTTTCACAGTTGTTCACAGTTTTAAGTCAAGGTGAACCCGTATAACTGTCTTTCATAAACGTCATACTGTCAACAGCCTTACCTATTGTAGCGTCTGGACCAATCAAACACACAATTTTTCATTTGATTTAACAAATCAGTTATTCATTGGATTAACAAATCGTCACAGTCCCCTCACCCAATAAACTGGGTGCCAGGATGTCTGCAACGACACCAGGCCCCCCGGTCCCCATGGCAACTAATGCTGATATCACTGGTTTTATGACCCAGAGGAATGTGAGTAGGGAAAATCACTACCTTTTTATAGGAAGAGACACAATGCACAGTAGAACAATTTCTCTAATTAATCCATAGGAAAACCTTTCTTTGAATGAACACACATATTCTTGTCTTTGAGATTTTATACTGTTTTATGCAGGCTTATGATGGAAACACTCATTCTTGTCATCTTACCTATATGTAATCCTACCATGTTTAGTATCTATGAATTCGCCTTCTGATGATCGAAACGAGC